GCGGCGGCGGCGGCGGCGGCGGCGGCGGCGGCTGCTAGTGCTGCTGTTGTTGCCGTTTTTGCAAACGAACGGACCAGCAAATGCAGACGGATATTCAGTCACAACAGCGGCACTGCAGCCGCCGCCGCCGCGGCGGCAGCGCCAGCATAACAACAGCAGTAGTAGCACGAGATATCGCAAACAGAGCAGTCGCTACGCTGGACTGCGCTGCTGCTGCTGCTAGTACCAGGGTAGTGAGAGCAGTAATAGCCGAAATGGTCAAATAGGTGAAAAACTCGTTCTATTCTAGTAGAAGGACGTGAGTAATCCCATTTTCCGATTGTACTAACAATATATTATTGGCAAGTATTAGTCGCCTTTTTAATTATTACGGTACTAGTAGTACTTTTGATGATGATGGCGATTGTTATTGTTGTTGTTGTCGTTATAGCCGCGGGCGCCGCCAACGACAATGGGTAACGACGTCAGTGGAGGAAGCAAGAATCGTCGCTGCAACGTTTAGCCGCCGCAGCCGCAGCAGAAGCAGTGCTTTCTAGTCCTTAATGAAATGTACGATGGGTCATCGCTTCTTCCAGCCTACAAATGTCGTCACAGTTACTAACGGCAGAGACCGTCGTGGTCATTAAATGACTGCGACTGCAGCGCACGAACAGTGCAGCCGTTATCAGCAGCCGCTTCGATGTCAACAACAACAAAGGCGATAGCAGGAATCGTCCGTAATGGCAGCCGTACCAGCAGCAGGTAGGAAACCGACCGACCGCTCGCCCGTGGTCCGAAAGAGCGGCACAGTCGTGCAGAACACCCCAGGGTCGGCGGCTGAGCTAAACAATCTCCAAACAAACGAACAGCAGCCGCTGGTCGACCTCCTCTTTCCCACTCTCGGTATAAATCGACGACTGGATAGCAGCCATTCAAATTCAAATTTATCCCGCGCATGGACGCAACTCAACACTATCCTCCGCAAAAAAAAGGACTGAATGGAAGATAAAAGACCGTTTGTAATAAAGGGGAGAATAAACGAAACTATCAACGACGTCCGACTGACTGCTGCTACAGCGAATCGCACCAAGACACGTCTTTACCGCTGGAACGGTGTTCTATGCTGAAGGATAGTCGCAGCTGAGAATTACATGTATAATATGTAAATAAGGAAGCTGGTAAATAGACACCCGACAACGGACAGACAGAAAGTAGCCCCTGCTGCGTTTAAAGGTAGCAGCGATGATTCCAATATCACCATTAGCACCACTAACTCACCACTGTCACTCAGCCGCTGCCGATGATGATCAGCCATCAGCTGACTCAAACAGCACCCGCTCTCAATAAGTAGGATCATCAGCATCAGCACGAACTTCACCAAAAATAACCATCTAATGTGTACCGGGCGTAGCAGTCAGTTTTTTCCTCCCCTCCCCGACGAAACAAGCAAAACAATGATAACACGAGGTACCAAAACGCGTGAGCAGCATGCAGACGACACTTCGTTAAAAAACAAACTGAACACGGACAAAATAGCGCGAAACACAATGTAGGCATCTAAATTGCGCTCCTTCTGTCTACTCTGTGCGCCATGGAACCCGCCATTACCCTCACCTATCGCACTTATTACAGCGGCTACCGGCTTCTATACTCTGCTTATAGTCTATGGCCGTGACAGGGTGTGTGAAGCAAACCTAAACAACTCTTCCTGTAGCTGACTCTCAGCTGCCGTTTCGACTATAGGTCTGGATACGGTTTCAAGAACTTCTTAGTTTAGGGAGCTCAATGCAGTCAATTTAAGGGAATTGAGCCCGAGAAAGGATTAGTTTGATATTTCCAGCGCCTGTCTTATTGTTCGACCTTTTGACTTAAACCAAAGTGTGGCATTGACGATAGACCTAGAGCGATCGAAACTTACATTACTAGTACGCTCATCTAGATAGTTTGATGTATTTGTTAACGGGCTAACAGCGCATCACTCCCGTTCCCTCTACCGCTTACCTCATAAAGTCTTCCTCAATGCAGACTCACAAATCGGTTGGTGACAAGGGAACAGCCAGCTTGTTGATAGGAGCAGTTGTGCAATCAGTCGCGTTAACCGCGCGGGAAATATTGAAAAGGAAACAGAGCAAAGGCTGAGCGATCCTGGTAGAGTCGTCATGGGGAAAGGTAGCAAGGAAAACAGGACAAAAAGAAGTTGTAACGTTAGCAATTTCCGACAACCTACTATATGTTTCCGCCGAGTAGGTCGGTGGAAAGTAAGGCTCACTTTTGAGGCCGAGGGTGAACATGGGGGGGCGGAGAGACAAAATGACGAAATGGATAACGGAACGACGAAAGTTCAAAATAATAAAAAACTGTTAGGGTGACCACAGTGATAAAGATAATAATATTTATTCGAATAGCGATATAACCCACTACGTACGTATGGAAGAACAACGTGAGCATGTATTAGTTATTCTATACCCCGTTTCGGCTAACCAATCTGGAATCCTTAAAAAAGCGATTCAGAGCTGTGCGGATTTGGCTTAGCTGAAATAAGTACAATGGGTGGAAAAACTGAGCGTTGGTGTGATGAGGTCACGTTAAAGAGCTAACAACTAGCTTACTCGTCCGAAGCGAATCAACGTAGTATATACATATAGTATATTAAGCTTATACAAACAAGCTACATTTTTACAATTAAAGTCAAAAACGTGGTGACCAAAAAACAAGATAAATGGTTACAGTTATGATGTCGTGAAGTAGACCCCTAAAGCACTAGTACCATGTGTTTATCGCTATGCCTCTAATTTATGCCTCTAATTAGGTTACGTTTAAAAAACTTCAGTATTTATCAGCCATCAAATGCATCTCCTTTTCTTTTTTGAAATTTTTGATCGCCTTTGAATTAGCTCTGCAAACTTATATAAACAGCTATCTTTTCCGATCTATACAATAGTTGCATTTGTTTTTAATCTTTGCGTCGATTCGTTGGTAAGTCTGAGAAGAGCCGCTATAATATGATATCTGTATATTCATATACTTACAATAGCAGGAACACTAAAACCTACTAGAGTCAAACCCTCCTAAATTTGGATTTCTATAATAAAAGAGTGAATTGAGGATGCATTAAGTTAAATTTAGTTTGTTGCGCAAAGGCCATTTACTAATATAGTGGGTAGGGTTTTGGCAAGCATAATGGTCGACATTTTACTTGTACAAATCAATAGGTAATTACGGCCTTAGAAGAAGGAACGAATTGTTTTAATGCCGTATAAGAGACGACTGCTATGAGTCTATATCATATCTATGAAATCAGGTGCGCTGCCCGCAGTTCCGTTTCGGTAACTCCTCGCTTCGCGAAGACATGGTTTCATCTCCGAGATTCTTGGCTATGGCCTCGGCCTTGAAGGATATAATTTTTGCATCAATCGGGGTAGCATCTATAAGTACCTAATTTTTATGTGAACAAGCGTATTCTGCACATAAATATGCTAAAAGTAGATGTGGCTGCAAAGAAAAAATACAAAATTGAAAATTGGTTCATCAGTAATTGAATAATGTGCAAGCGGCGCAGACTGTATGGATGATGGAGGAAATGAAACATGGCTTTGGGGAGTGAGCTTTGGGTCATGATGGAGTGAAAAGATGATCAAAATGGAAAAACGAAGAGAAACAGAACAAAAAAAGTGATGGGAAAAAAAGGATAGAAAGCCGTCTGGGTACGAAGCCAAAGTAAGCATGAAACACATTGGAAATGGGAGGTGAGCCGAGAGATAACGGTAGCATATAATGATTGAGTACGTTCGAAACTCTTTAGTGACTATCGATTCTCTTCTCGACTTTTCGATAGTCGAAACTAGGACATAGACACTAAGAAAAGATTGGGAAATGGAGCCCTAATTTTGATATTGGCCTGTGTATAATGGCTTATGTAATATCGACCGCGTCAGACATCCATATATTGGTTGGTCGTCCCTTACCACTAAATTAGCCCGGCATGACCAAACGCAAAAGACCTATGACTTGCGCCGGATAAGTTGAGCCTTTCATCGATTGTCCAGGACGTGAAGCTGTTAATGCAAGGCCTAATCAACGGTACCAGAAGCGTGGAACAGCGATGCGTGTTTCTAAAGGCATCCCGAGAATTTTGCGAAACAGCACAGTGGCACACGCCTTCCTAAAGCCTAAAAAGGCGCGTCGCGGTTGCCCTAGTGAGTCGGTGAAGTGACTCAGGAAAAAGACATCCTGCCCGATAAGCACTCGGCATTGCCCATTTATAATGATCAAAAGTTCGTACTGGTAAGTACTTGATAACAAGCATAATTTTGTGCCGCGACATCGAAAAACGCAGCATAGGAGACATCTAACAACAACAGTCGATACTCTTTTAGAGCCATATATATATATAATTTATTTAGTCGAACTGTTCGATATATCTTATGGCTCTAAAAGAGTATCGACTGTTGTTGTTAGATGTCTCCTATGCTGCGTTTTTCGATGTCGCGGCACAAAATTAT